GCTGGCAGCTGCAAATCTTGCTGAGCAAGGTTGGGTGTTGGACGGGCTGAGCACTCCACAAATGTCCAATTGAGCTGAAATTTGGATATGTTGTAGTAGACACCCATTGAAACAAGTTTCATGAAGATCTTCACCTCATTCGAGCCCCATAGCATTCTGATCCAAGGCCAAGAAGTTGACCTACGAAACTGGGCTGGAAATGGGCTGTAGCCAAAATTAGTTTGTCTTTAAGCTCATATTCCTCATATGCCAATCAGCCCATAACATGCATGGATTGCATCATTTCCTATCCAAAGTCATCATTGTTATCTAAATGTCAATTAACTGAAAGATAAACACAAAAAGGATTAAAAGCACAAGTTTAACTCAAAAACATAACCAAATCATAAGCTAGAAGGGTACAAAATGATATACAATTATGAACCGATCAACCCTACCAAGGTTTGTGGTGGTGACATCAAACATCAACGGGAAATACTTGCGCTACATAGATGAAGACATCAAGAACGATGTGCCAGCGGGGTGTCTCAAGTTCTCTGGACAAGAGGCAGGAAGCCAATACGCGAAGTTTGAAGTGGAGATGGCAAAGAGTAGCGGCAATGAGGGGCTTGTCCACATTAAGTGTTGTTACAACAACAAATACTGGGCAAGGCGTAGCCCTAGCAGGTTGTTGATCGCTGCTGTGGCTAATGAACCAGTGGAAGAAAAATATAACCCTTTGTGTACCTTGTTTAAGCCGGTGTACATAAATGATGATGTCCTAGTCGGCGATGATAAAAGCACAAACCATATACTGGTGCTCCGATTCTTACATACCCAACGTGGAGAGTACCTAACCATTTATCGGGGCAATGAGAACCCAGTGCTCCGCGGAGGCTTGTACACATTAGATGCAAATCCTGACCCCAAGTTGTTCGATGTGTTCACTGTCACCGATTGGGAATCGCTGTTCACGATGCTTCCCAAACATGTGGCGTTCAAGGGCCCTAATGGCAACTTGCTCGGCACCCGCTTGAGCGATGTCTTCGCCAGCGCCGATGGAGGCCTCTCCTATTCCTCGGGCAAATTGTGGAGGCTGACCAAGGGCGATTGGATCTGCCTTGACGCAGATAACTCAACCAGAATCAAGAGATTTGCCGTCACTGAAAAAATTACAAGCAACGACTCAGAAGCATACCTGGAGGCGAATGAGCTTGGAGTTTCAAAGGAGATCTATAACGTCACTTTCCGCCCCGTGGACGCCATTATCTACAACAAGAAGGTTGTCGAAATTGTCGTGGGAGAGGCAGTTAACCGTACCAAAGAAACTCAAACTGTAGAGCTGAAGCTCTCGTATAAAAAAACTAGGAGCGGAAGCTTGAAGTCCAGCGTGTTCAAGTTGGGCGTCCAGAGCAACATCGACGGAGAGGTTCCAGTCATCGCAGACAATGGAAAGATCGAGGTTGATGAGTTTGCAGAATCAGTGGAGAGGAGAAAAACCGGGACAGCCACAATATTCACATGTAGTGTAAACGAGGTTAATGTTTATAAGGTTGTGGTGACGGCAATGGCTATGGTGAAGGTGAAGCTTCTAGCGACCAAGGCTTCTTACGATGTTCCCTTCTCCTATACGCAGCGCGAAACTCTCGCTGACGGAATAAGAATTACCAACGACATGGATGATGGGGTTTACTGTGGCACCAATACCTTCAACTTCAAGTTCGAGACCACAGAAGAAATGCTTTAACATTTCACCAGTCAGCCAATACATTGTAATTCCCGCGGACTACCCTCACATACAGCTATAGAATATGGATTGTCGAATGTCTTCAAAAACCTGTTGTGAGCTTAATAAAACTTTCTTCTTCTTCTTCTTCTTCCTTGAATTTGTCTGTTCCCGAATTAAATTCACAAGAAAAAAAAAAGGAAAAATTATATATTAAAAGAAGTTTTCAATGGGATTACTTTCGTACATTGCTTGGATTTATTTCCAGCTCAATAAATCAAAGGGCAACTGGTCAAAAAATGTTTTCTATTTAGACTGTCTTAATTAAAGGTCTTATTTAGACCTCCTCCGTCAGGCAACTTTCCATCGGCCGACAATCATTGTTCTTTTCGATTAGGTGCAGACGACACCATTCCATGCTCAGGCCCAACACTTTTGGACTCCATCAAGGACAAATAAGGAAAGACCTGCCTATTGTCAAGACAGTAAAAGATTTCTGTTAAAAAGAGTCACGTGTGTGTAAACTAATTAAAATAAATTGAAAATAGAAATTGCAAACTAATTAAAATAAATATAATTACATACAACCTGCAAATCTATCCATTGTAACATGATATTTAAATCACAATAAAAATTACATTTAAAACTAAAAATACTCAAAATGAACTGAGTTATCTAGCACTTAGAAGATCACGAGCAACACAGTATAAGAAAACCTTTATGGGAAATTCATCCCTACTATATGGCACTTTATGGGAACATCATATGGTGCATAACCATTTTCTCAAGTCCTCACTATATGGAACTTTATGGGAACAATGGTTGTTGTTCATTAGAAGCAAAAGACATCAGAGTAAGAAATAAATAAAACTTCACAATTGAAAATCACCCTCAGGATGTTACTCTGACATTACTTGATTACAAGATGTGAATGAAGTGTTTGTGAATTGTTACATGAAAGAGTATCACTTGCGTACTCAAACCTTTTCCAAACATCCTATACATATCATACATTTATCTGATACATCTCACATGGGAAAGAATGAACTGATTATAACACAAAAGATTTTGAAATCAAGAGCACGCCAATATTACTTAATTGTCAACTCCAAATAAAAGAAAAATCATAGAGCGTTTCAGTACACGGTACACGGTACACTATCCACTAGAAGATCTGTAAATTGATAAATTAACCGTCCACAAATGCCAAAACATCATGTAAGACCTAATATATTTTAAAAAAAATAACTGAACCTGACATAAATAATAAAAAAGGTTTTACTAGTCACTTGTAGGTGCCAAACTGGTAGAGGGAATGATCAAATTGAGAGAATGGAAATTAAGGCACTCAACAACTTCGGTTGTGTTTTCACTAGGCAACAATAGATTTTTGATACCACAGTTAAAGAAAACTATGAGCTTTAAGAAGTGAGCAAGAGAAAAAATAGAAGTAGCCTTACACTGTCTTGAACCATATCCTGCCTTGCCCACCACAGAAAAGCACCCACACCAACAATTGCTACAAGCACTGCAAGGAGCTGGATGTGAAAAAGCATCAATTTCATTAGAGATATAATCCTACAAGCTGATGTCAGAGTCAAAAATAAAAATGATTATATTAGACTACCTGTTTTTTTTAAGAAATGTAAAGGAACTAAGATTTGTGAGAAGAACCCCAAATCAGTTGCTAAATGAAAGAGAGTACCCAAATGGAAACAATTGCATCCAAAATCCAACCAAGCTGCCCAGTAAATGAAAGATAAATCAATCCAACAGCCAAAGCTAAATTACCCAGAACTCTAGCAGTAGCTCCGTCATCTTTCCCACCACCACCTCCACCACCATTAAACCCAAACCCCTGATTGAACCTCACCACAACCTCTCTTTTCTTCTTCTTCTTCTTCTTCTTCTCTAACTGGTATCTCAATGCATTACAATAAAACGAAATCTTATGCTACGATTAAAAAAATCTAATTTAATATATTAGAGAACCTCATATTAATTTATTTTTTTTAAAAGGACAAGGGAAAAAGTGAAGGAAGAAAAATTCACAAAACCCAAACTTGTTGCTCTAAATAAATTAAAAAAATAAGAGAGAAAAAACAAAGAAACAACCAAGAGAAGCCAGATGCTTGGGAACTAAAATCTCCCAGCCAGATGCATGTGAATTGAAGTTGAATTTGAATGGTGAAGGGTGTTGTCTTTGTCCCAACGTTGATGGTCAAGCTTTGGCCTGAAATTTTGTTGTACCACATGAAAGTGATGAGGAGCTGCTTCTGGGTGAGAGTTTGGCTCTGTCTACCCACTTCCCCTTTCCCTGTCTGTACAATTCTCACCAAGCAAGAGACCCTCAAAGAAGAATCCACAAAACAGCACACAATCCCTCATTCCAACATTACTTAAATTCACACACACAGGCATGCACAGAGTTCTTTTTCTAAACATTTCTACTCAACTTGCGAAGTATTTCAATAACAGAAAGCTGAAGATTTAGTAGATGAAACGCACCAATTCCCAGAATTAGAAAACAATGCAATAAATCCATGAAAATGAAAAGTAATCTATAAATTAGTAAAAAGGTCCCATTTGAGATGATGGATTCATATTTTCCTCAACATGAACACTCTAAATATTTCTCATAATTATCAAATTGACCAACTCACAATTCTCAAATTCCAATTTGATTGCTTTATGAATTTCCAATCCCACTACCTTAAATTTATCACAAAAGCCAAAATGAACAAGCAATAGAGAGATAATAACATACGGGCAATAGGAATTGGAGAAGATGGCAATCTTGTTGAGTAGATGACGTTCTGTACAAACGCCGAAGGCGAAGTCGAAGCTTCCGCGACGATGACGTTTCCCAACAATATCAGCGCCGCCGCCGCTGCTGCCGTGAACGCAGCACCACCCAACAACTCTAACGCATCTTCCCACGACGACACAACGATCGCAGGTCCGAAAGGCCGACGCAGCTCTGAGACGATTCAAGCGAGTCCGACCCGTCCTCTGCCACCGGTTTGCGCCGTCGAGACTATCCAGCTCCACAATACAGAGGAGTAGTACGAGCGACAGTTCAGAGCAAGTTGAAGAACGAGCGCGTGGTTTTTTGTCCTTCATTTAACCTGTTACCCAAAACAGCCGGTTTCCTTTGTTTTTAAAAACAAGCACGTGACTGCCATGTGACTGGCTGTACCCAAAATCCGATACTCAAATTAGACCTGACAATATTGCACACGACCCGTTAACACGACACGAATTCGCACGAAATTATCAGTATTTGGGTTGAGCTTAATGGGTCGGGTTGAAAACGGGTGAACCCGTTAGCCACCCGTTAAGCTAACGGGTCGTGTTGGGTCGAAAACGGGTGAACCCGTTACACCCGTTAGGAGCAAGGGCATTTTTGTAATTTTCGTTAAAAAATTAACCTAGGTTGAACTTGAAAGGAAGCTTCAATTTTGTTATTCCTCATCTCCTCACGCCGCTCTCTGTCTTTCTCTCAAGAGAAAAAAAAGTTCTCTCTTTTTCTCCATAGATCCAAACCAAACGATCAAGGATCAACATCAACTACCTTTCCTCTTCTCCAACGAAAAAAGGTATGAAATTGAGTTGGAAACGGTTGCTTTCTTTTATGCCGTCTGTCTTTTCCTTCTCTGTCTTTCTCTTAGCAAAGTAGGCTCAGGTTAAGATTCATTGATTCATAGAAATTGGGGAATATAATAAAACACCAACCGATCAATCCAATCCTTTACTAGTTTAGTGGCTTCTACCTATTTTGTCAACTTGCTGCACTATTAATTTCTACTTTCCTATTTTCTTTGTTTGATTTATTTATTGGTTTAGATGAAGACTTGCTACTTAAAAAAACCAAACAATTGCAACTTGAAAAGAGGTAAAACAATATCCATACAGCAAAAGATAGTTGCTGAAAGATAGTTTATTGGATATTCAATGGGTATGATAATGATTGATTTGCTGCACACTAGGCTATTATTTTGATTCTTGAAACACTCCATCCGTGAGTTTTACATTACTATAATTGATATTGAATTTATGTCCTTTTTTTTTTCTTTTGAAGCTTATGGATGTTACAGAGAGTACCGAAGCTATGAGACTCACAGATGAGGAGTCTATTGATGTTTCAATGGGTGGGGATACAAGTACTGCAAATGTAGAAGATAAAGAGTCAAGCCCTAGAAGCAAAAAGCCTAGAGGCATCAATATTGGTAAGAGAAAATTGAGATCTTCTGCTTGGGAAACATTTGATTTATTGCCTCTTGGAGAAGATAAAAAAAGGCGTGCTAGATGTAAAAATTGTGAGATAGTTTATGTGTGTGATAGTAGGTGTGGGACTGGAAATTTGTTGAATCACGCTAAAAACTGCCTAAAGAAATCACATGGTGATGTGAAACAGTTACTTATGTCATCATCTGGATTGCGTTCCCCTAAATTTGATCATATCAGATTTCAATGGGATTACTTTTGTAGATTGCTTGGATTTATTTCCAGCTCAATAAATCAAAGGGCAACTGGTCAAAAAATGTTTTCTATTTAGACTGTCTTAATTAAAGGTCTTATTTAGACCTCCTCCGTCAGGCAACTTTCCATCGGCCGACAATCATTGTTCTTTTCGATTAGGTGCAGACGACACCATTTCATGCTCAGGCCCAACACTTTTGGACTTCATCAATGAGAAATAAGGAAAGACCTGCCTATTGTCAAGAGAGGAAAAGATTTCAGTTAAAAAGAGTCACGTGTGTGTAACGTGACCACTATTTTGTTTCAGTTTTACCACCTAGAGAATTGCTATCCACAATCGATCAAAAGCGACTGTGAGGATCGTCGCCTGTGTACACCAGTTAGAATGCTACACGTGTATCTCACTTTTTAAAGAAATAAATGAGTTTCTGTTATGCACCGAATTCACATTTTACCCTTCTCCTAAACCCAACGACAGCATTGAGGGGCCGTTTGGTTCATGGGAAAGGAGGCATAGGAATGGGAATTCAATTGCTTTCCCATGTTTGGTAAGTCCGGGAATGAGAAACGGATTCCTGGCACATGGGAAAGTAGGGGGGAAAGTGATGCCCCCCTCTTAACTTGGGTTTTGCTTTCCCTCCTCATGGGAAAGTTTGGGAAAATGTGCCAACATTCAATGCACAATTTTCATGACTATTTTGTCCCTATGAACAATTTATAATTACAACGTATCATTAAATGCATTCTTTTTTTATTTGATTTAATATGGGTATAATTGGAAAATTATACAAATTTTGTTTTCCATTCCTACTCAAAACAAACATGGGAAAGGAAACAACGTGAAATCTCCCGATTACTTTCCCAACATTACCAAACGTGGGAAAGGAATCTTTCATTCCCATTCCTTGGGAAATGACATGGGAATTGATTTCCCCTCAAATCCATTCCGTGAACCAAACGGGGCCTAAATAGAAAGCCAACCCTCACTTCATTTTTTTTCTCTCTATCCAGATTCAATACCCAAAAAAAAAAAACCTATAATCTCTATTTCTTCACCCATAAGGCCCATCTCCGATTCTAAAAAAACTCGAACCCAACTTGCCTACTAAAAGTAAGGCACTAAATTCTAACCCAATAAAAAATGCACTTGTGTTATTGTCCTGCATGCACAAATATATATAATGGGTAATGCTAGGCTTACCACATTTTTCATACCACATGTGTAACACATCTCTAATAGAGGTGGAGCCCGCCAATATAATGGGGCTCACCTTTATTAGAGAGGTGGTACACATGTGGTATGAAAAATGTGGTAAGCCTAGCATTTTCCATATATAATACCTATAATATAAAAAATTTGGGACCTTTAAAAATTAGGGTTCTGTTTGGTGGCACCATTTGCACACTTTCAAGGCAGTCCATGTGTTAAGGCCATCTCCAATTCACGAGGAAACCCAAGAATCCTAAATTTTAGCCCAATTCCTCTCCCAACTTAAGAAAAGTAAAGAGCTAAAATTTGAGAAATTCAAATACCAGTCCAGCTATTGCTTGGATTGGAATTTTTTTTGTTGGAGCCCACAATAGCATGACACAGCCCATGTGCAAGGAGGTGTGAATAGGGCTCGTGATGCTGTTGCTGCAGAAGTTGTCACATATTTTAAATTAATCTAAATCATATCCAACCTCAAAACTAACTCCAAAATCTATAAATACCCACCCATTTCTTAAATAATCTACCAAAATGAGCCAACGCTCCGCGGAGGCTTGTACTCTGGAGATAAAGACCCTAACCCCAAGTTGTTCGATGTGTTCACTGTCACCGATTGGGAATCGATGTTCATGATGCTTCCCAAACATGTGGCGTTCAAGGGCCCTAATGGCAACTTGCTCGGCACCCGCTTGAGCGAGGTCTTCGCCAGTGTCGACGGAGGCCTCTCCTATTCCTCGGGCAAATTGTGGAGGCTGACCAAGGGCGATTGGATCTGCCTTGACGCAGATAACTCAACCAGCATCAAGAGATTTGCCGTCACTGAAAAAATTACAAGCAACGACTCAGAAGCATACCTGGAGGCGAAAGAGCTTGGGGTTTCAAAGGAGATCTACAACAAGAAGGTTGTCGAAATTGTCGTGGGAGAGGCGGTTAACCGTACCAAAGAAACTCAAACTGTAGAGCTGAAGCTCTCGTATAAAAAAACTAGGAGCGGAAGCTTGAAGTCCAGCGTGTTCAAGTTGGGCGTCCAGAGCAACATCGACGGAGAGGTTCCAGTCATCGCAGACAATGGAAAGATCGAGGTTGATGAGTTTGCAGAATCAGTGGAGAGGAGAAAAACCGGGACAGCCACAATATTCACATGTAGTGTAAACGAGGTTAATGTTTATAAGGTTGTGGTGACGGCAATGGCTATGGTGAAGGTGAAGCTTCTAGTGACCAAGGCTTCTTACGATGTTCCCTTCTCCTATACGCAGCGCGAAACTCTCGCTGACGGAAAAAGAATTACCAACGACATGGATGATGGGGTTTACTGTGGCACCAATACCTTCAACTTCAAGTTCGAGACCACAGAAGAAAAGCTTTAACATTTCACCAGTCAGCCAATACATTGTAATTCCCGCGGACTACCCTCACATACAGCTATAGAATATGGATTGTCGAATGTCTTCAAAAACCTGTTGTGAGCTTAATAAAACTTTCTTCTTCTTCTTCTTCTTCCTTGAATTTGTCTGTTCCCAAATTAAATTAACAAGAAAAAAAAAAGGAAAAATTATATAGGCTTTTTTGTCACAAAACGTCCCTGACGTTTGTGAAACTATCAGATTGCATCCTTAAAGTTTTTTTGTATCACTAATGATCCTTAACGTCAATATAGGTGCTCTCAAATAGTCCCTCTGTCAAAAAAACTGTTAAGTTCAAGGATATAATCGTAAAATCAATCCAAAATTATAAAAAGTCCTCTCTCCTCTCTTTTTTTATTTCCTTTCCTTCTCTCTTTATTTCTTCTTCTTTCTCTCTTTCTTTTCTTCTTCTTTCTTCTTTCTCTCCACGAATTCACTCTTCTCTTTCTCTGTCTTTTTTTTTTCTTTTCTTCTTCCTCCTTCTTTCTCTCCCCAAATCTTCATGTCTTCCTCTTTCTCCTGGTAGGGTATGTTTGGCGGTGTCCACTGGCCTTTCTGATTCCTATTCCGATTACCATCGTCGTTGCTCATTTTCCTGCGAATGGGTTTGTGTCTGTGGATTTTTTTGTTCTCTTTTTCTTCAGCTTTTTTCCAAAATAAAAATAAAAATTGAACAAAGGTAGAAGAAGAGGCCAATAGAAGCCGACGTCGTGACTTTTTGCCCCAAACCAACCTTTGCACATTGTACCCAAATCATTCTCAGAGAATGAAGAAAAAAAAAAAGATAAAGGAGAGAGAATGGGGAAATGCCCAGTTTTCCAGCTGAGAGAAGAAGAAAAAAAATGCCCATGACAAGAGGAAGAAGAAAAAAAGAAAGAGTGAGAGAGAAGAGTGAACTCGGAGAAAGAAAGGAGAAAGAAGAAGAAAAGAAAGAGAGAAGGGAAGGAAATAAAAAAGAAAGAGGAGAGATAAGACTGAACTCGGGGAGAGGAAGAAAGAAGAAAAAAAGAAAGAGAGAGAGAGAGAAGGAAAGGAAACATAAAAAAGAAAAAAAAAAGAGGGGAGAGAGAAATTTATATATATATTTTATAATTTTAGATTGATTTGACGATTATATCCTTGGATTTAACAGTTTTTTTTTTACAGAAGGACTATTTAAGAGCACCTATATTAACGTTAGGGACCATTAGTGATACAAAAAAACTTTAAGGATGCAATCTGATAATTTCGCAAACGTCAGGGACGTTTTGTGATAAAAAGCCAATTATATATTAAAAGAAGTTTTCAATGGGATTACTAATTTCGTACATTGCTAGGATTTATTTCCAGCTCAATAAATCAAAGGGCAACTGGTCAAAAAATGTTTTCTATTTAGACTGTCTTAATTAAAGGTCCTATTTTTAGACCTCCTCCGTCAGGCAACTTTCCGTCTGCCGACAATCATTGTTCAGGCCCAACACCTTTGAACTCCATCAAGGACAAATAAGGAAAGACCTGCCTACTGTCAAGACAGTCCGTTAAAAAGAGTCACGTGTGTGTAACGTACCACTATTTTGTTGCAATTTTACCACCTAGAAAATTGCTATCCACAATTGCTCAAAAGCGACTGTGAGGATTGTTGCTCTTGTACACCAGTTAGAATGCTACATGTGTATCTCACTTTTCAAAGAAATAAATGAGTTTCTGTTAGAGAATTTATCAAAAATAGCCAAAACTTGACCCTTAATTTCAAAAATAATTTTTGTAAAAAATTTCAAATATAGCAGAAAACTCACCTAAATAGACACAAATACCCTTAAATTTAAACCCCACATAAACATAAAAAAGAAGAGATTTTCTATTTAAACCCCACACTTCTCTTAGTTCACCCCATGTTCTAAGTTCACCCCATCTTTTAATTTAAATTTTCACAATTTCTAAGAAAACCCCACTATTTTCCCAAACTACCCTTAAATACACCCCAAATTGAAAAAAAAAAAAAGAAAAAAAAAAGGAGATTTTATATTTAAACCCCACAATTTTCTTTGTTCCCAGCAAAAAAAACACAAACAAATAGAACCCTAAACTCGAAATTTAATGCTTTCTAGAGAAAGAGAACAACTTTACCTCTTTCCAAGAACTGTAACTGAAATTCAAACACTTGGGTATTGTTGAGTTGATAATCAACAAGCCTTTCCATCAACTCCCACGCATATTTAAAGAGGTAGGCTCGTCAATTTTCTATGTCTTTAAAAGAGAAGAGTAATCTG